TTATGTGATTTGATTATTTGCATCTTTTTTCCTTACCAGCCCATAAGACAGTTGTCCATTTTATTCATCTTTATAAATTAAATGGTAAAAATAAGTCCTAATATAACAAAAATTATAATAAATGTTAATCAGTTAATCCATCAGTTTCTGAGAAAGCAGAAACTCAGGTTGAATTTCAGGCTAGATTTAAAAATTAAGGTCTAGCGATATAGTATCTATAAGAGACACACTTAAAATGAAAGAATATGGATAAGTTGAAAGTAAAGAGATATAAGTAGATATTTGAGGCTAATATGAACAGAAACAAAACAGTAGCTATTTTATATGAGGTAAATTCAAGCTACAAATTCAAGGCAAAACTATCATCAGAGACAAAGCATAAGGAGTAGGCTTGGTACAGACTATCAAGGAGCTCAGCCAAGTGGAGATATCAAGTGGATAGTTGGATATATAAGACTAGTATTCAGGGGCAAAGTTCAAAGGCAAAGTCAAAGCTGAGATATAAATTTGTAGTCACCAGCATATATATGGTATTTAAAGCAATAACACTGAGTGAGACCATCAAGGGAGTGTAGACAGGAAAAGAAGTCCAAGGAATAAACTCTGAACCACTCTAACATTTTGAGGTCAGAGAGATGAAGAACAACCAGCAAAAAGATGTAGAAGTAGCCAGAAAAGTAGGAGGCAAACCAGGATATCCTGGAACCCCTGGGAAACAAATTTTTCAAAGAAAGAGAATGATCAAACAGTTCAAATACTGCTGATAAGTCAAGTTAGAGGACCCTGAAATGGGTGGTTGGATTTAATATGGAGGTTGTTGGTTACCTTGCTAGGAGCAAATTTGATGATGGAGTAGGGAAAGACCTGATCAGAGTAGGTTTAGGAGAGGAGAGAAATTGTAGATGGTGAGTTTACACAGTTTTTGAAAGGAGTTTTACTGTGAAAGGAGGGATAGAAATGGGGCAGTAGCTGGCAGAGGAAATTAGTTTAAAAGAGTTGTTTGCTTTTTTTTTTTTAAGTTGAGAAAAATAACATCATGTTACAGAGGATAAAATTGATGGAACAGAGAGAGATGAGAGAATTACTGAAGCCAAGCCCTTGAACAGAAGAGAGGAAACAGGATCTAGTGTACAAGTGGAGGGACTGGCATTAGATTGGAGTCAGAAAGTTCATCCACAAGTAACAAGAAAGTAGAATACATAGGTATAAATGCAGATAGTTAGGGAGATGTGATGGTAGAAGAATGTGGAGTTAATAAGGATTGCTTCCATTTTCTCAGTGCAATAGGTCATTGGCCAAGAAAGAAGATGAAAGAGAAGGCTTTAGATTTGAGGAGACAGGAGAAAATATAAAATTGTTTGTTCAGGGAAGTCAGAGTGAATGGATTAGGGGAATGCAGTATGTTTGCCAGGCAGCATTATGGGGCTACTTGAGGTTAATTAGTATTTAAAGTAAGACCAATCACCAAGTTTGAATGTTTTCCTGAAGCCACATTCAGCTGCCAGGATGCAGCTATAGAGTAGGCAGAGAAAATTGGATTTAAGCTGGGCTGTGGTCAGCCAAGGAGTACTTCAGAGGAAGAGAGGAGCAAGTGAGTTAGAGTTGAGAGCACACTCATATACAAGGGACTGTTTATAATTATTGACCATGGAATTTATACTGGGTTACAAAGGAAGTGAGCACATGAAGAGGTGGGGGACAGTAGGAAGGTGGTAGAACCAATGAAGTAAAAGGTCCCTGTGGAGATCAAAGGATTACTAGTGGAAGTGAGCTGTAAAGAGGTGACATTTGCGATTATGGAAGGGTTGCAGGAGTTTGTTTGGTTTTGGTGTTTTGTTTTGTTTTGTTTGTGATGGCAAGGTCAAGGGTATGACTAAGGACTAGAGAATGAAATTACTGAAGGAGACCGAGTCAAAACATTGCAAGGCCAGCTGTTGGAAAGATCTATATGAATACTGAAATTGCTAGGGATTATGATAAAAGTACTCTTAATGTGACAGTGAGCAAGGAGGAGGTAAATGACAGCAACAGAGAAGATAATGGGTGATATATAAAAACAGGAGGTTTAAAGTTGAGTGCTATTATTATATATATAGCATATAACATTTTATGTAATATATAGAGAGGGCAGTGGAGAATGACCTGGAAGTAGCATTGAGGAGTGAGGAAGACCCACACCTCATTTCCAGGCCAAGTGATAAGGGAGATGTGGGAGTTAAAATAGCCATGATTTGAGAGGGTTGCAGGTGAGGCAATATTATCAGGGGAGAGCCCATATGGGTGTTGAACTGGCAACCTTACTGCTAAGAGCATGCACTCTCACCAGCTCAGTGGCAGCTCAGCTCAGGTGCAGCTCACTGGCCCATGTGGGAATTGAACCAGTGATCCTGTTGCTCAGAGCTCAAGCTCTAACTGAGCCACTAGGCTGGCCCTACATATTACATATTTTTGATCTACTGTCTCCCTTTGCCTCTAATGATGCTTTTTGCCTTGAATCCTATTTTTCTGATATTAAATGTTTCTGATATTAGATGTCTGCTTGGCTTTCTTTTGGTTCATAGTTCTCTTTTTCTATCTATTTGTTTTAACTTGTCTTATCCTTTCTTTTAAATGTGTCTCTTATAGACATCATATTGCTAAATTTTGTTTTTTAATGCAATCTGAGAATTCTCTTTGGTGAATTTAACTAATATATTAAATTACTTTTATGCTAGAACTTTTTATTCTATCTTAGTTTAAATTTTCTTTCATTTTTTTCTTTTTGTTCATTTCCTTGAATAAATCAGTTTTTCCCATGGGTTTGAAAAGCATGCGTTTTATATTTGTTCTTCCAATGGTTACCCATAGTTGTTAAGACTCTTACTTGTATTTATTTTTCCCAATTTATGAAACTTATCAACACCTATCTGTATCTTCTCCCTTACTAAGACAAATACTTGAACACACACGCATACACTCTTACCAACCTCTGGATGTTGTACTTTATCCTCTACTTTGTTATATCTGGGGTGTGTGTGTGTGTGTATAAAATTCCTTTTTAGATAATAATAAACTTTGCAGTTATTTCCTCATTCTTACTATCTTATATTTTATAACATTTCCTAAAATTTTTGTTTGATAGGTTACTTCCTCTAAGAGTATTTTCAAAGAGGATCCTTTAAGATAACTTGTTGAGACCTCGAAGTTCTGAGAATATATTTATTGTACCTCACATTTAAATGATAGCTTAGCTGAATATAAATTTTGAGTCAGAGTTTCTGTTTTCAATATTTTGAAAATATTTCTTTGTTTTCTTGCCTCTGATATTGCTCTGGAGAAGTCTCACATCATTCTGATTCTTTTTTTCTTTTTGTGGGTGAGCTGCTATTCTTAGAAACTTTTTAGAATTTTCTCTTTTACTAAATATCACTAAGTATTCATTTTTACATATCAACCCTATTTATCACCCCACAATATTAATCTTTCTTTGGAAGTTCTCACTTATTTCTTATATCATCTTCCATCTATTTACTTTTTCTTCTCCTATTAGAACTCCTATTATATAAATGGTGTTATTTCTATATCTAGCCTTCATATTTCTTCATTTTTTATTTTTCATCTCTTATTTCTTTTCAGTGTGTTCTGGAAATATTTCTTGACCTGATTTTGGACTATGTCCATTTTGTGTTTATGTCATCTAATGAGTTTATTTCAACTATACTTTGAATATTCAGTAATACTACTTGGTTTTGTATAATGTTTCTGCTTCATTATCAGTATCCTCTTTGGGGGCATGTATTTGACTTGTAGTCTATTAATTCTTGTCATCTATTATAGATTATTCAGTTTATTGCCTTTCTAATTGTCTAGTTATTTTTTCCTATAAGGTCGTTTCCCCTCATGGGTATCACTTATCTTGGTGGGTAATGGATGGAGAAAGGGTGGGAGTAATCAGAACCTAGGCCTTAGCTTGTTCCACTGCTGATGAGTTAGGGGTCCAACTCTAAACATCCTTGTGTGTGTTGCTCTCATCAGAAGGCTTCCCCCTTAGTGAACCTCTCTATACCTCCTTACCTTAGGTTTTGTTCTTTTCTAAGAATGTATTTCTCTAGCCCTCTGGGTGAAAAGGTCTATGGGAGAAGGTAGGAGGAAACGCTTAGATGTTTGTCTGGTGAGCCAGCACTTACTGTTTTTGTTTGTTTGTTTGTTTGTTTGTTTGTTTGTTTTTAACATCCCAATAGTGTTTCCCAACCAACCTGCTGTCAATATTGTAGTAGGGCTGATGGGAAAGCAGTGATATACTGTGGGCAATGTGGTGGATGGAAAAGAGCCTCACTCACAATTTTTCCCCAAGTTACTCCTCCTTGTTGCTGGCTCTGTTCTGTCCAGGGCTACTGTTTTCCTTCTTTACCAAATCACAGCCACCTCTGATTCTCCAGGGCTCCTGCTGGCTTTCTTTTCTTTTTTTTCTTTCTTTTTTTTTGTTTTTTAATTTTTATTGGGTAACAGCTATGGTCATTGGTTACACATTGCTTTCATGCTACAATGGCCTAGTTGACTCTTTTAGGGAAGGCGCAACTCACAGTGGCCCATGTGGGGATCGAACTGGCAACCTTGGTGTTATCAGCACCACTCTCTAACCAGCTAAGCTAACCAGTCACCCCCCCCCTTTTATTTTTTTAATATCCATTCATTTCTTATTTCTGAGGCACGTTGGGGTTTGTATTGGGGAAGGTGGACTGTGACACTTTTCCATCATGTCAGAGGCTGTATGATGTCCCTTTCATGAGAGCCTACACAATTTGTTGAAACTTTGTGTTCCAAGTAATATACAACAGAAGATAATTCTTTCTTGAGTGGTCATGGTAGTATTTTGAAGATGTTTAACCTGAAGAACTATAGGCAGGATGTAAAAGCAAAGGACAGACAAAGTAATGTATATACATGAAAGACAGCAAAATAGTCATTTTATTGAAACATATTGAGATTTACTTTCAACATGCTTGTGTTTAATTTTACAGTCACTTGGGAATCTTCTTAAGCCTGGAAACAAGACAAAAAATTAATCTTACTACAAATTTCTCTTAAACACATTTGTGGGAATGTAGATGATTCACAGGGAAAACAAAGAGTGCCTTCAGAACTCACAGAGTTTAACTAGTAAAATTGATATGTAATCCATATTTACAAGTCACCTTAACAAGGCAGAATGTCTCCCAGGACCAAAATCAGAAACAGCGGGGCTTGGAAATAGCTTATTATTTATTAGACAATATTATTATTATTATTATTATTATTATTATTATTTTTTTTTTTTTAGACAGTATTATCATACCTAAAGTTAAAACATAGCCTAAATATTGACAGTGGTTATTTCTGGGCATGGACTTGTCTATATTTTCCAAATTTTTATGATGAAATGCTTTAGTTTTGTAACTGAAAAAAAAAACTATTTTAATAGAATTTTTGTAGGGAAATTGTCATATAAATATACAAACTTATACAAGGATATTTGCTGCAACATTGTTTATAATGTTGAAAAATTTCCAAATTTTTATCAGTAGGAGATAAAAAGTTCAATGAATTATAATAGATCAATACAATGAATATCATGTAACCAATAAAAATGATGATGTAAGTCTATATGGACATAGGAAAATTTCAAAGATGTACTATTAAATACACAAAGCAGTTTAAAAAATATGTCCAATATGAGCCTATTTTTGCAACCACAAAGTAAATACACAGAAATTTTTTGAATAATCTATGCAAGAAGTTGCTGTTCCATCCTAACAACAAGTAAAAAGTTGAACAACCTCTTTAGATCCTTCAGAGAAGTGAGGTCACAGGGCAAACCATTGCCCCCAAAATTGGAGAGACAGACAGGCAATACAGAGAATCACAGTTTACTGGAACAGAAACCCATGAGCAGAAATTTATGCAGGAACCAGTGCCTGGTAGAAAACCTAAACTGTAATTGATCAATTGCTGGAGGCTCAGTGTGGACAAGTCTGAGGGTTAAAACATCCAGGGGGACCCTGTCAGAGGGACCTACAGAAGATTCTACCAGGTCCTCGCAGTGAAGATCAGATAAAAATCTCATGTTTCCCTCAGGGAAAGAAGGAAAGTAACGATTAAAAAAGAAAAAAAAAAGATTTTTATTAAAATAGGAAAGTAACCATTTGAAATATACCAGAGCATTTTGTTCTTAACAAAGTCTGCCCTGAAGAGAAACTATTTTATCAGAGTGTGACCTGCTGGGGTTTTATCAAGGCCTAACCTACTTGGAGGAAGGGAAATACCCAACTCTATTTGACTCTAGCCTTCCATGTGGGGGAGGGGAAATACCCTACCCAATTTCAGCTTCCTGTAGCCATCCTGTCTGACCTAAGGAATGGGGTGGGAGGGGATGTTACTGAGAAGAACTGGTAAAGTTCATATCCCAGAGGCTTTCTAAAAGCCTAAGACCTAATCATAGGACTAGAAAATATTTCCCATTCCCCTATACCTTAACCACGACACTGCTAAAGAAAGGCCTATTTGCCAGGGTTTCTTTCACCTAGTATATCATGTCCTGATTTTAACAAAAATTAGAAGGTATTCTAAAAGGCATAAAACAGTTTGAAGAGACTGGACAAGCATCAGAACCAGCATCAGATATGGTAGGGATGTTGGAATCGTCAGACTGGGAATTTAAAACAACTATGATTAATATGCTAAGGACTCTGATGAAAAAAAGCATGGAGGATTGGATGGATAATGTAAGCAGAGATATAGATATTCTAAGGAAGAATAAAAAAGAAATGCTGGAGATCAAAAACACTATCAGGAATGAAGAATGCCATTCATTGATGGCCTCATTAGTAGACTGGATGTGGCTGAGAAAACAATCTCTGAGCTTGAGGATATGACAATGGAAACTTCCAAAACTGAAAAGCAAAGAGAAAAAATGACTGAAAAAAATGAAAACCCCCCAGAATATGCAAGAACTGCAGGATAACTACAAAAGGTGTGACATGTGTAATGGGAATACCAGAAAGAGAAGAAAGAGAAGAACAGAAGCAATATTTGAAGCAATAATGATTTTGAAGCAATAATGACAGAGAATTTCCCCAAATTAGTGTCAGACACCAAACCACAGGACCAGAAAACTCAGATAACAACAGGATCAGTGGGATAATGCCCAAAAAACTACACTTAGGAAAATCATACTCAAACTTCAGAAAAATCAAAGACAAATGAAAAAATCTTGAAACCAGGGGGGAAAACCACTTTACCTATAGAAGAGCAAAGATAAGAATTACATCCAACTTCTCCTTAGAAACCATACAAAATAGAGAGTGGAGTATGATATTTAAAGTGTTGAGAGAAAAACTATCAACTTAGAATTCTGTACCCTGCAAAATTATCTTTAAAAAGTGAAGAAGTAAAGACTTGCTCAAACAAATAAAAATTGAGGGAATTTGTAGCCAGTAGACCTGCCTTGCAAGAAATGTTAAAAAGGAATTTCTTCAGAGAGAAGGAAAATGTTACAGATCAGAAATTCAGATCTACAGAAAGATAGGAAGAGCTTTAGAGAAGGAATAAATGAAAGTAAAATAAAAGTTTTATTTTTTTATTCTTAATTGGTCTAACAGATAACAGTTTGTTCAAAATAATAACAACAATGGGGCCGGCCGAGTGGCGTGTTGGTTAAGAACTGGCTTGGGATGCCAGAGGGCCCCGGTTCGGATCCCACATATGAGGGTCAGTGACACTGCCCTCTACAGCTAAGATGCTGAACAATAGCTTGACCTGGAGCTGGGCTGCCGTGAGTCGTCAGCGACCGCGTAGGCTGCAGTCCCCTGCTGAAGTGGGCTGCCATAAGCTACCATGTGTAGCCGGCAGCCAGTGTGAGCGGCCAGCAGCCACCGTGAGCGGCTGTCCAGAAGCCGGGGACTGATCTGCCTCGCCTTGGAAGATCGCAATGATGGTGCCAGCGTGGGCCAGTGAAGCAACATCCTCCACGACTAGACTGAAGAACAAAACAACAGCAACTTGTCTGTTCCCCTTCCCCCGATTCCCCAGTGCTGTTCCCCTCCCCCAATTCCCCAATAAAATCTTAAAAAAAAAATAATAATAACAACAATGTATTCAACTATGAATTCAACATATATATGCTTGTATATAAGCAAAATGGATAACAGAAATGATATAAGGGATGGAAGGGAAGAATTAGGAATATGTTGTTATTATAAGGTACTTATAGTACCCATGAAGCAGTTAATATTATTTGAAGTGGACATGGATTAGTTGTAAATATATAGTGTAAACTCTAGGGTACTAACTACAAATAAAGTAATAGAAGTATAACTGGTATACTAAGAAAGGAGAGAAAGTAGAGTTACAAAATCTCAAAGTTACAAAAGGCAGAAAAAGTGCAGAAGACAAAAATAGAAACAGAACAAGGGCAATAAATAGAAAACAATAATGAATAAGGTAGATATTAATCCAGCTATATCAGCAATCACTTTAAATGTCAGTGATCTAAATACAACAATTAGAAGACTGGGATTGTCAGAGTGGATCCCAAAACAAGACCTAACTCTATATTTTGTACATGAAACCCACTTTAAATGTAAAGACACACAGATTAAAACTAAATGGATGGGGAAAAAATACCAAAAGGAAAAATACCAAAAGAAAGCAAGAGTAGCTATATTAATTTCAGACAGAGCAGACTTCAGAGCAAGGAGTTATCAGGGATAACTGAAAGAAGGACATAATATAATGATAAAGGGGTCAATACTTCAAGATAACGTAATAATCCTTACTGTTTGCCTAATAGAACATCAAACTACATGAAGCAAAAACTGGTAACACTGTAAGAAGAACTAGATGAATCCACTATTACTGTTGTAGGCTTTAACACTTTATCAGAAGTGGACAGATCCAGCAGGCAGAAAATCATTAAGGATATAGGTGAACTCAATCGAATCATCAATCAACTGCGTATAATTGACATCTCTACTTTATTCACCAACAGCAGATTACACATTCTTTTCAAGATCACATGGAACATTCACCAAGATACACTACACTTTGGGCCATAAAACACACCTTAACAAATTTAAAAGAATAGAAATTATACAATGTCAGACCGCAGTGGAATTAAACTTGAAATCAATAACAAAAAGATAGCTTGGAAAATCTTAAAATACATAGAAATTAAACAGCACACTTCTAAATAGCACATGGGTCAAAGAAGAAATCTCAAGGGAAGTTAAAAAAAAATTGAACTGAATGAAAATACAACTTATCAAAATTTGTGGGATAAGCAAAAGCAGTGCTTAGAGGGAAATTTATAGCATTTCTACACATACTAGAAAAGAAAAAAGATCTTAAATCAGTAACCTAAGCTTCCACCTTGGGAAAATAGAAAAAGAAGAGCAAATTAAATCCAAAGAGAACAGAAGAAAATAAAATAAAAATTAGAGCACAGAGATCAACAGAGAAAATCAACAAATTTAAGTGGGCATCTTGTATTTTATCTGGCAACCTTACCCTTCAACCATGAGTTTATTTTGTTTAGAGTTATATGTGCAGTTAAACTACAAACCAAATGTGTAGGAATAATAACAGCACATTCAGGATAGTGGTTTCTATGGAGCAAGAAGGAGAAAAATGCCATCGGTTAGGGTACACAGGGAAATTCATTCTTATGTGTGTTTGTGTTATGTATTTTTAATTTTTGCTTTTTGGGTTTTTCCTTTTTTGAAGAGAGTGTTTAATTTCTTAAGGTTAGTATTGCATATGTGGATTTTTTTTTTCTATGAGTTTGTTTCTGTTTCATTTGTTTATTTACTTTATTCTTTAGATTTCACTTATAACTGAAATCACATGACATTGTCTTTCGCTGTCTTACTACACTCAGCACAATACCCTCTAGGTCCATCCATGTTGTTGCACATGGCAAGATTTCGTTCTTTTTTATGGTTGAGTAATATTCCATTGTATATATGTACCACCTCTTCTTTATCCATTCATCCATTCAGGGTCACCCAGGTTGCCTTCATACCTTGGCTTATGTAAGTAATACTGCAGTGAACATATGGATGACATCCCCTTGAAGTAGCATTTTGGGTTTGTTCAGATAAACACCCAGAAGTGGGATTACTAGGTCCTTCTTTGTCTCTTGTTATAGTCTTTATTTTAAAGTCTATTTTATCTGGTGTAAGTATTGCTAGCCCAGGTTTTGTTTTGTTTTTTCTCATTTTCATGAAATATCTTTTTCTATCCCTTTGCTTTCAGTCTGTGTGTGCCTTTCAATCTGAAATGAGTCCCTTGTAAGCAGCAACATATATGGATTTTTAAAATATTACTATGCTTTATGTTGTCCGAAGTATTTATAATAAATATTTTAAAAGTCTTCAGTAGCCCTCTGGATTAAATCCAGAGAACCTAACATGGATTACAAACACGCCCATGACTTCTCTGATCCTGCTTATCCTTCTAACCTTACTGTTTCCAGTTTGTACCCAGCAGTCACCATGCTGACCAATTTTCCTTAAAAGATCTCCAGGCCTTTGCCATTCCCCTTCTACAGAACACTCGGTCCTCCTTCCTTCCCCCACCCTTTACCCCCATCTTTCTCTTGTTATTAAGTCTCCACTTAATAGTCAAATCTTTAGAAAAACTTCTCTGGTACTTTATGTCTGGGTTGGGTACTTCTTTGTACTTTCAGAACATTCAGCACTTTCACCATCACTTCCTACTTATTTCCACCATATTGGAATTGCTGATTTACTTCTCTGTATCTCCCATTAGAATATAAATTCCAAAAGCATGGAGAGTATATCTTATCCTAACATCCTGTCCTTTCCCTAGTGCCTGGCACTAAAAGGCCCTCAATAAATATTTACAGTAGGATTTAATTAGTTAATTAATTTATTTTTTATGTGAACCCTGTTTTATAATCAGTATTTAGATAGAATTATAAAATCTTGCCACCCCGTAGTATGTGGGTTAGAAATCATTACCTGAAACCCCCCCCCCAAAAAAAAATGAACAGAAATCATTACCTGGAATGAGGTTATTCAGTCATTCTTATTGCAAAGTTGGGGTTTAACATGGTCTGTCACCTAAGCTAGGTCTTGCTTTTGTTGTTTAGGATTAGTTCATAGCAATTGTTCATCAGGCTGTGCAAGCTAGTCTTGGGATATGTGGTAAAGTTCTTAAAATTATTCTTTATTTTTCAAAATTCAAATTTGATGACTAGAGTAGGTATTATTCTGTTACATGGTAAATACAGGTAGAATCTATCAATCCCACTCCTGGGTATTTAAGAGAAATGAAAAACTTATATTCACCCTAAAACCTGTATGTGAATTTTTATAGCAGTTTTATTCGTAATTGCTAAAAACTGGAAATAACTCAAATATTCTTTACCTGTTGAATGGATAAACATGTGGTACAGCCATACAATAGAATAATATTAGTCAGTAAATAAAATGGAATGAATTTTATACATGGATGAATCTCATGTGAATTATGCTATACGTGAAGAAGCCAGACTCAAAAGGTTACATACTGTATTTTGATTTATATGACATTCTGGGAAAGGTAAAACTATAGGGGCAGCAAGATTAGTGATTGCCATAACTATACATTTGTTAAGACTCAGAACTCTACCCTAAAGAGAATTTTACTGTATATATACCTTACACCTAAAAAAAAAAAATCTATGAAACAAAAAAAATCTCTGTAATCTCCTTGATTCTGAGTCCTTCTAAGCAGTAAACTGGAAATAAGGGTCTCACTAAATTTGTAGGATTTAGCATGAGGTGGTTAGTTAGGTCAGGAGGATATCTAAGTTGAAGCTGGCTATGAAATGGAGACAAAGGAAATATTATTTAAAGAAAAAATCATATATCTTGTCCCAAGCACTGTAGTCACTAAATTAGCCATGCTATTCCTCAAAATAACCTAAGTTAATTAATTTAAGCACTACAAAAAATGTAAGGAAAAATGGGAGACAAAAATCAAGTTTGCTTTGATTATAACCTATAACTTATGAGTTTTGCAACTTAATGGTTACATTTGGTTTGGTAATTTTTTTTTCATGAATACTTGTGCTCATGGTATATTTTATATTGTATACATTATATAGTAACACCTTTGCTATTATTTTACTATATTATAGAATTTTAAATGTCTTATTTCATGGCATCTGCCACCTAAACAAATTTGTGAGTTAACACTACTTCTTAGATCAGAATTTGGATTTTACCATAATAAATCAGACTGCTCTGGTAAACTCTTTCAGGTTATGAAAGTTCAATTTTCTAAATTCTTAGTTTAGAACATTAAATAATTTTCTGCCCTGAAAGACATAATGCCGACTCCAAAACTCTTCACTTCCACTGGAATGATTTCCAGTGGTTTAGGTGAGAATCTGGTTTAACAGAATTTGGAAATATGGATTCTTGTCACCCACCTTACCTATTCTCTCTAAGTCTCTTCAGTGTATCCTGGAATATAAGCACTTAATTTACCTCAGATTGGGCCTAGATATGACCACTGCATTTAAGGTATGTTACTGAGCCATGAGGTGGGCAAAAAGCATTCTATTATGGTCTTTCTGGTACTTCTAATAATAAGTCCCTAAATGTGAAATTCAAAGTGGACCTATCTAGTGTTAGATTAGGTTTCACGGTATTATAACTGGTTTCTTTGTTTATTTTATTTTATTTCAGTAGTGACATCTGCAGGCCTATGGAAAGAAACACTAAATGACTAATACTTTCGGTAACTCCCTGGTGCTGTAAGAGAAAGTCAAGTTAGGGAAACAAAAGGTATATGACCAAAGGCCCGATTATCAGAGTGTTCTCCCATCTTTAACTTACTGTGATTGAACGGATGCAAGAGATTTTCTGAAGGTAGACTGAACATCTAACTGGAGCAGCATAGGAATAGCTGGGTACCCACCCAGCTGGGCCCAGAGTGAATTTATTGACGTCTTCTCTGTTATTGGGTAGCTTGAAGTGGACTGATCAGCGTTCCAGAGGGCTTCCATGTGGTCTTCTTGTCTAGAGAATCAGAGAGCACCAATTGGAAGCACCAAACTCTCTTGAGCTCTGTAGCCAATCAAAATATATTATTCTTATTCTCCCCTCTTCTCTTGACCATAACCCTGTCCTATAATGCCCTTCCCCACACAGAGGAACATTAGCTATGCCCACTTTGACTGAGAAATGGATTAAAACAGCAGAATTTGCTGAAATAGCTCTTTTTGTCTTCCCTGAAAGCTGCATTTCCATGACTTCACTTAGTAATCCATTTTAAAGCTACCTTCTTAGCTTCCTGGAGTATATGGACCATGTCGAGGCTATTTTTTCACCCCCAGCAACCATTTTCTCCCCTTCCTTCCCAAAGCCCTTACCTTCTCCTTTTTTATTTTTAAAGTAATCCTAAGTTTCTTCATTGTGTATTAATTTTTTTCTTAGTAAGGAAGAATCAGCTTCATTTATTTTTTTAAAGGAACTCAAAATTAAATCTTAAATATTTAAGTAGAAATATAGGTAAATAAGCCTCTTGCTCAATTAGCTAAGAAAATTAATACCCTCTTAGACTCTCCACTGTACCATATCATAATTGTGGGGAAGGGGAAACTCGGGGGCAGAAAAAAAGGCATTAGGTCCCACATATCATCCAAAGAAAATTTAATGTCAGTCTTTTCTATGACATACCTAAATTTCTTGAATATGTCAGATCTTCTGTCCTTTTCTAGTAGCTCCAGGAATGGCTGTTGAACAAATTTGGTAGGGGCAGGTATCTGGTTTTTGTTGATGATCAAAGGGATAGGTTGACTAAGATTCAATTTATGCATCTCTTGGATCTAAAAATAAATAAACCAAAAAGGAAACAATGAAAAGAAAGGGCCAGAGTCTTTAAGAAGGTCTTCGTAGCTGGCCCTGTCTAAACTATGATTCTTCCCTTCTCATGGATTTGCAAATCCTCTTTCTCCACCCCCTTTCTCCCTTCCTCCAGCCACTCCTTAACCTCCACCCCACCTTCAACACAATTTCAGAGGTGGCAGCTATGATATACATAAACTTTGGTCCTGCATAGTAAGCTCTAGTGCTAGCCCTCTCATTTCCTAGTTGTGTGACTTGAAGCTAGTTGCTCATTTTATCTGCACCTCTTTCTCCTCATTACTAAGATAATGATAATAGCACAAGGTTGTTGTGGGAGTTGTATAAGATAATATATATGGAAGCACTTCATAAATTGTGAAGCACTATGCAAATGTAATGATAGCTAACACTTACTTACTGAATGCCAGGTGCTGCTGTCTATATATGAACTCATTTGGTATTTATAACAACCTTATAAGATAGATACTATTATTATCCTTGTGTTACATATAAAGATCTGGAACTCAGAAAAATTAAGTGGCTTGCCCAAGGCCTGTTAGCTAGTATGTAGTGAAGCTGCTTGGAACACAATCTGGTAACAGAACCAACCTCTTGACCACCACCCTGACTCAGCGTAAGGTATTTATTCATTTCTACCCTCTTCTCCATTTTGCTTTTTCCTCTCCCTTCTTTATGCCTTGATACCCACCTTATCATCTAGATTATGGCTTCACTGACCCCTTTTTCATCTTCTGAAATGCCCTGAACATTGTGATTCCTGCTAGACAGCTCATGGGACTGCCAACTCATCTTGCTTTATTTCATTTACATTGGCCATATTTTCCAAACCAAAACTGTCAGAAATATCCTTTTTTTTTCTTTGTCAAAGAGCTTTAATATTCAAAGTGTAACTCTTCTGGAAAATTTCAAATATGTCTGATTTGAATCAGGCCATGATTCAAAGTCTCTGTACCTTCTAAAGTAGCAAATAAACTGGTCTTGTTAATTAATCAAATTAATTAATTTAGTGAAAGAAAATGATATATAGATATAAAATGCTCCTAGAACTCCAAGAATGTTCCAGAACTCCATGCTAGAACATGTAATGGGAGCATGTAGTCCCAGAGCAAAGAACTCTAATCTCAGCTCTATAACTTTATTTTTTTTTAAGATTTTTATTGGGGAATTGGGAACAGACAAGTTGCTGTCTTTTTGTTCTTCAGTCTAGTTGTGGAGGATGTTGCTTCACTGGCCCAAGTTGGCATCATCATTGCGCTCTTCCCGGGCGAGGCAGATCAGTCGCCGGCTTCTGGACAGCCACTCACTGCAGCTGCTGGCCGCTCACGCTGGCTGCTGGCTACATACGGTAGCCCATGGCAACCCACTGCAACAGGGGCTGCAGCCTACGCCGTCGCAGGCGACTCATGGCAGCCCAGCTCCAGGTTGAGCTGTTGTTCAGCATCTTAGCTGTAGAGGGCAGTGTCACTGGCCCTCATATGTGGGTTCCGAACCGGGGCCCTCTGGCGTCCCAAGCCAGTTCTTAACCATCACACCACTCGGCCTGTCCTCAGCTCTATAACTTTTTGCAAGGTTATTATCACTCCAAAAAGCATACTGAGGTTATCTCAGAGGGGGCTCTGGGACATAATGAGTGGATTGTCAGAGTTTAACAGGATCTTCTGTGCCTGGTGTTATGTAAGCAAGTTAAATAAATCCTTATCTCCTTTCTTGTAAACTCATCAAAACTTGCTACCTGATAGTTTTTAGAAGTAGCCACCATGAATCAGTTGGAGAGTAGTGACTTTAGGAGATTTCATATCTAGAAGCTTGTAGATGCAGGATGACTAGAAAGGAGTTGAACATTTTTGGAAATCTCTCCTATTCTAATTTTTTCTCATCTAGAGAATCCAGCCAGTATTCCTGTTGTCAATGTAGGAGTTTCACTGAAGTCACGGTGTAGTGGGTTGAGTGGTGAACCCTCCCAGAAGATATGTTCACCTAGAACTTGTGAATGTGACCTTATTTGGAAAAAAGGGTCTTTACAGATGTAATTAAGTTAAGGCTCTCAAGATGAGATATCTTGCATTAACCAGGTGGGTCCTAAAATCCATGACACATGGTTTTATAAGAGACTGAAGAGAAGACATGACACTGGGAAGAAGGCCATGGGAAGGACAGAGGCAGAGGTTGGAGTTATGCAGCTATAAGCGAAGGAATGCCAAGGATTGTCTACAGCCACCAGAACTTAGGAGACAGACATGGAATAATTTCTCCCTCAGAGCCTCCAGAAGGAGCCAACTCCACTTGATTTCACAAACTGGCCCCCAGAACTTTAAAAGAATACCTTTCTGTTGTTTTAAGCCATCAGTTTGTGGTAATTTGTTATAGCAGCCCTAGGAAACCAGTATACATGGTATCTCCAGGTAAATATTATTTTCAAAGCTTACTACTTTCATTTTTCTTATAGCACACTGGGGAGAGGAAATAGAAAACAAGTTACCTGGCTAAATAAGTACATCATTTTCCTCAGGCACTGATTCCGTTTCTGCTCTAGAGACTTCTGCTTCTTGATCCAGACTGCCATCATCTTTTTCTGGTAGTCATCAATTCTGCTCAGCATTATATAGAGGTTCTGCATCTCATAACCTTTCCCACTGTTTTGGATGGCTTGTAATCGTTTGTTGATGTTGTTTCTTGATAACATTAACAAGAATTAGATTGATATAATTACTGATGTAACTCAGCAAAACTGGTCTCAGTTACTTCAATTCTCTTCTCATCCTTAGTAAGTAGAGAGGGATGGAATAGGGTGGGAGGCTTGCTTAATGAGATCTTAATCTAGTTCCCTATATGATTAAGCTTTCAAAAATCTGTCAAACTTTCATTAACTCTTCCAAGAGTTTAGTGTTATAATAGTGTTATTATCTTAATACATTAAAATTGTAGTATCAATATGTACAAGACACAGAAGGTACTTAATACAATTTTGAAAAAAGACAGTGTCTTTGCCTTCAAAGCACTTACTAGCCAGAATAGGAGACTAATAAATTAGCTGTGTCAAAGAGAGAATGAAATAAATGCTAAATAGAAATGTAAACATGCTGTTTGAGCAAATAGAAACACATAATTCTAATAAAAGGAATAAAGAAAGCTTCACAGGAAGATGTTGAACAGGATCTTGAGGAAAAGTCATAAGATGGACTTTCTGTCTTTACTATAATGTGCCACCATGTTTGGGCCCCCTAAATAGATAGTGTTTCACCATAACCCTTCTAGAAGGAGAGGAAAATGAATCTGAGCAAAGTTAAATAATTTTCTAAAGTCAGATAATAAATAGCAGATTTTGGAAGCAAACCCAAATCTTCTCTCTTTCCACAATACCAATATTTCTTAAAGTGTGGACCCTGATCACTTGGACTGAATCATTTGTGGGGGAGGGGGTAACTTATTGAAAATACAGATTCCAAGGTGCTTCCCCAGACCATTTGAATAAAAATCTTGGTGGTAGGCTTCAGGATCTGTATTTTAAACCGAATCTCAGGTAAATGTTACTTGAGAAAAAGGGATGAGGTATTTCAGGTTTAGGGAATACTATATACAAATACAAGAAAATGAAAGTTATATTTTGGGAGTTGTGAGCAGTCTGGGACTTTTAGGTCACAGATATATGAAAGGATACAGTGAGGGAAGAAACTGGAATGGCTGGATTATGAAAGACCTTAAAAGGCATATTAAGGAGTTTGGAACTCATTGAAGATATTTTTCTGAATATATATACTTTACATATATATATATATATATA